GAGAGGATGTTAAAAGGGAAGGCACCTGCGAAGTAAGCATCTCAGCGGACTTTCGAAGCTAAGGGGGATGGAATGTGAGGATTGAGCCCTCAACGGGGCCTTGCCGACATGCATATGTTATGGGCATAGATCCCCAGCAAGCCTCGTGCCTGCCCTAAGTGAAGGCGGGCAAGAATATCCACAAGAGACCTTCATTTAGCATTTCACAAAGTGGGTATCAGACTGTTGCCGCACGCCAGTTGGTTGGAGTGCATCGTGAGCCTCAGACTCCTGCAAAGGCAGTTGAGCCCAGGGCCTCGGCTGGTTGAGCCTTGGGCGACAGTCTGGGAGGCCGACACATCACACATTGGTCCCTGGCCTCAGAAAAGCAGTAATTCGTCGTCGAGGCCGAGGAAACCAATGGGAAACCGGTAGAGGGCCTGAATCTGGACAACGACCCTAGCATAAGGGGCGCAACTGTAACCTGGGCCCCATCTGCATTGGGCCTGGGTACAGGTACTGGGGCCCAGACGCAGGCTCAAGGCTGACCGCCCACACGCAACACCGGCATATAGGCAGAACAGGCGAGTGGGGGAGGATCTTGGCCATTGCGAGCAATGTCGGCATGTTGAAGCACTGCGAGGTGCTGCGCTGCGCTAGGCTGAGGTGAAGGCACGCTGGCGCTAAGCGGTAGGGCGCAGGGCGCTGGCGGCCATAGCCGGGCTGCTTGTGGGCGCTGAAGGAGGTGAGGGCGAAGGTGGTTCTTCGGAAGGTGAAGGCGCTGTGTGGGATTACAAGGGAGAGTGAGGGAGAAGAGAGAGACGTACCTGGTGGAGAGGAGGTCGGCATTGGTGTTGACGTCATCACTCGCTGGTCGTCAAGTTGTCTGGTTGCTTCCATGCTGTAGTTGTAGTGTTAGGCTGTAGAATAGATAGGGCGCCTGGCGCCATTCAAGAGAGAGAGCTGCATTGAGTTATGCTGTTGGTGTTGCCCGATTGGGCTTGGACATTGACTCACAATTCTGCTGTATCGTTCTCAAATGGATGGTTACTTGGTTCCATTGTGCTATCTGCTCTTCCTTCGACTGCTTGGACTTAAGTGTGATTTTGCAATTTGGATTTTTGTGCTTCGTCCACATTCATGTTCCTTGCATTAACTAACAAGAGGAAATGAAATGTAGCATGGTACAATCATAAAGTCGTGGAGTAAACTACCTCAATGATGAAAATAGCAATATAGTACCAGATAATGTCGATTCGCTTAGCCATTAAAGAATGGGATGGTCTCAGAGGGGATGAATGCAGCCTAAGAATCGGAACTCCTAAGGGCAGTCACACATGAAAGGGGAGGGAGTGATAGCGAAACAAAATCAATTACCCTAACAGATCGACTGTCAAGGTGGGTAATGCTTGATAAAAGGGTGACACTATATAGGGTCGACTATAAAAGGGGAGCCTGGAATAGGGTGGAGATGCACATAACTGAGGGCATGCAATGGAAGACACTAGCGTGACATGGGTGAGGGAAACATGCACACAACTCACTAGCTGGGGAAGGAGCCAGATCTGGGAGCAGGGAAGCCAAGATAATGCTATGGTCCCAATGCTTATGCATTACCAAGGGAGAGCTTAACTCAGGGAGAATCAACTAAGTGAGAACCATCATGCGACACATACGAAGGAATGCACAAGGCAGGGTGGTGTCGTGAAGTAGTCAAGTCCAAAGCAGTTGAAGCCGATAAGGTAGCTGAAGTCGTCGAAGTGGTCGATGACGTCGATGGAGGAGTCGAGTTGGTGTCGAAGCAGGGCCGCAAAACGCTGACATCTTGAAGAAGTTGATGATGGAGTATATGATAATGTGAGTCAGTGGTAGGAGATAGGTAGGTGATAAGAGTGTCACTCGTCGAGACGCCGAGGGTGTGGACGAGTGCGTTGTGGGCGCGCGGAGGCATCCATTTGCTGTTGAAGAACGACCTCAGAGAGATGTTGAAGAACGACCTCAGAGAGAGCGGGCTCGTCCTCGGTAATCTTCTCAGCCAGAGGAGAAGGAAGAGGGTCAATCGGCTGAGCAAGAGTAAAAATCTCAACACGACAAGCATGATGATATACAAGCACCAACATCCAGGTGTGCTCCAAGTACTAGAGGGGCTCCCCAGTAGCCTCCTCATCGGGATAGCCCTTCCAACGCACAAGGTACTCGATGTGTGGAGGGGTATCGTCGGTAACTCGGCGAGATACGAAGTTTGAAACAACGAACTCCTCGTGACCGTCCACCATGATAGGTGGAGGGCGCTCGTAAGGGCGTCCGACGAATCGCTCCCACTGTCTGCGATAAAGACGTAACAAGGAGATGTGGTAAGCATCGTGTACGCGACTTTATCGAAGGTAATCAGGCAACTTCACAGGAAAGTTAATCGGAGTATTAGAACCGACGGGCTGACGGATGCGGCGTGGACCGAAAAAGCAACGCCTGAACATGTGAAATGTGTCCGCTTCGACCTGCAAGTGGCGTGTGTGGACGAGCACATCGTCACCGACTTTGAATAGGTGATCCATTTGCGATCGTTTTGCTCGTGCGGCCATACGAGTCTGAGAGACAGCGATACTCTGTGCGCATTCGTAATCGCCACCATATGTGCTATCTAGGTGTCAAGCGCAGGACAACGCGTATCTGGGTGCAATCGTGAGCATTGAAGAAAATCCGCAGGCAAGTGAGGGTGGTAGCCAAGGTTGCAATAAATGGCTACGTCACCGTGGCTGGTGAGACAACGTGGTTGTACGCGATCTCCGCGTAGGTTAAGTGTAAGTCCCACTGTCGGTCGGTCATCCCTAACAAATTTTCGGAGGATATTACCGAGAGTTTTGTTGGTGACCTCAGTCTGGCCATCTGTCTGAAGGTGTGGTAAGACGACATGTTTGTACACATCGTGTTGGCGTCGCCAAAATGTGCTGGTAAAAGACGGATCACGGTCGGAGATGATGCTCTGAGATAAGTTGTGATCTCTCATTGCCCGGTCGAAAACGATGTTGGCGAGCTCACGAGCGCCAATGCAATAGTGGCACGAAAGTGATCGACGACGACCAAGATAGCATCATGGCCGCCTCGTAGTGAGATGGCGGAGGGGACCAACAAAATCCATTGAGATGGACTGCCAACAACCCTGTGATATGGGTAGAGGCTGGAGTAACCCATATGGAAGGTGGTTCACACTGTTCAGCTTCTGGCAGGTAGGACACTCCTGGGTGTAGTTCCTAACGAATTCCTTGCTCTGGGGCCAGACGTATAGGCGGCAAACATGGGCCAACGTCTTGTGGAAGCCCATATGATGGGCAATCGCTTGGTTATGGAGCCCGACTACTGTCAGAACGCGGAGCTGTCCAGTGGAGGGAACCCAGATACGTGGTTCTAGACCATCAGACTGACCACGCTAGTACACGAGGCCGTTCTCACCAAGGGAGTATGAAGGAACGGTATTGCCACTCCGCAGTGTGGTGTGGATGTTGCGATAGCCTGGGTAGTGGCGGTACTGAGTGCGATATGCGTCGATCACCGACTGATCTACGGTGGTGACCGAGATGGCAGCAAGCTGGATGGGTTCTTGATTGTGATCAAGACAACAAGGCATCGGCGACACGGTTCGTTTCACCCTTAATAGGCTGAGTGGTGAAACGAAACTCGTGCCACCAATGTGCTTGTCGAGGAGAAAGCATAGGCTTCGTGAGGAAAGCCTGGACAACAGAATTGTTCGTGCACCCCGTGAAGGGCGCCCCATGCAGATAATGACGTCAATGTTGGGAGACATAAACTACTGCGAGAACCTCAAGTTCATCGGCAGTGTAGTTTATCTCGGCAGGCAGTAACTGACGGGAGCAAAAGGTGATCGGACAATTCCAAGCTAGAGCCTCGACAATCCCATCCTCCGCGATGGTCGGAGAGTAATTGACAGGAGGATTGTCGGTGGAGGGAAGTAGTGGAAGGGTAGATGTAGTGTCAGCAAGAGGGGGAAGGGGGGGGGGGGAATGGGGATAAGGGGAATTAGGAGGAGTGGGAAACACCTGAGAAAGTACAGTTCCTACTGCAAAATTGAAGCAACTGATGACTATGGTGGAACGAAATTGGGCTACACAACTTCTGAAGTCTCACCTAGGTTACAATGAAGCTTAATGTTTAGTTGGTGTGTGATTCTTTGAAGGAAGGAATCAGTTTTTCAGTGGTTGTGATAGTTAGTGATGAGTGTCTGACCAACTTCGCATAGGGGCACTGGCCCATCTTGTAGACAAATACAATATGCATAATATAGATATTATTGTATTAGATAGATAGAAATATACGAGTGTTATTTTATTATATAATAGGAAACTATTTAGATATATGATAACTATATATATCTCATGTAAATCTTTTAACACAAGTAAACGTGAAGTATTACAAAATACTAAAATGAGAAATAAAATAGAATGAACTGGGTTTCTAGCACGTATAACCATGACACTAGAAGCAAAAGTGATGCTTGAAAAAACTAGAAAAAAATATCATTGCAGTGATTAGTCTTTCTCTTGCTAACGAGCCTACAGCCTTTGCTTTTCCCAAGTATATTAGATTGCTTTGGCTTTGAGAGATTGATCATCAAAAGCTCCTTAAGAAAAAAGAGAATTCATAATGGCTTTTAGACCATTAGGACAATTGGCTATTATTCAATGGATTCCTTTTCATATAGGTTTAACTTGGATCTTTCTTTTACTAATTCATCTTTGTTTATGCTACTCATTATTAGCGCTGCGCCCCCCCCCCCCCCCCCCCCCCCCCCCCCCCCCCCCCCCCCCCCCCNCCCCCCCCCTCCTCTCCTCCCCCATTGTGGATGCCCATGTTCATCAACTGATTTCTGCTTCAGTTCTTTACCATCCATAGTCCTCCACTGTTTGTTTGTTCTGCATTCCACCTCTGTTCTACATATGAGGGTGTACAGGATTGTCGTGCTATTGACATTCTTTCCCTCTTTATTACACATTGTGTATGTGCAGGCTGATGGATTGAAGGCCCTTAAGAGGGTTCAGATGAAAGGTGATCATCGGGGCATTCTCAATGACCCAGATTTATTTTCCCGGATCAAGGACTTCCTGAACCCGGCATATGACCCGGAGGTGGATGCGGTTCTTGTGCCACCAGCTGTAGAGGTGGAGAAACAGATTAAGAAAGAACACTGGCGACTGCCTTCGCTGCCATTGCTCCCAGGGCAAGATTTCAATCTGCAAAACGAGGATTACAGCGAATCCATTTGGGCAGGAGCAGTGATGATTGACGGAGACACCTTAGCAGCCTCTTCAGTTACGATGACTATGGGGAAAGTACCGGTCGAAGGGGGTAAGCATACACCCGTAACTGCAACAGAACCTCAGAAGGCGACGCTGGCCGAAAAGGTGGCCGGTGACATCAACGGTCACAGTGCCTTGGCACCATGCACAGCCAATAGTAAGGATGCAGTAAGAACGGCAATGAAACCTCTTAAGAAAACGTCAACCGAAACGGTGGCTGATGATAGCGACAGACACAGTGGCTTGGCATCGGAGACGACCAAGAATCTTTTGGAGCTTTCGGTCATGACGGCTCTTCCAGAAGTCTCCATATCTGCAGGATTCGCTGACGCAGTGAGACGAGCAAATTCCGACTCCATGGTCGTTGCAACACGCTGACAGCACAAGGGCGGTGTTAAGAATACGATGGTCCAGGGGCGTTCCCCATTTGAGGATAATAAATAATTATGACAACATGGTTTTGTTCACTCGTTTTACTTCCAAGCCTCGCTATCTGACTGGAAACAACCCTGTAATGAATTCGTGCTTGACATATGTGGACTGTATGCAGTCCAGGGTAACAAGTGCGCGGGGTGGTGCAGTGTTGTTGCACTGTGCCATTCTATGAAGGAAAGGGGAAGGGAGGTGAATGCTGGCTGCAGATAGCAGCGCCGATGCAGCAGTGTGGCATTTTGGCAAGGAAAGGAAGTGAAACACCAGCCAGAGAGTGCTGTATATATGTGTTCCTTGTGATTTGTCCGCCCTGGCGTGCGGTGCTGCCTACTTCAAGTAATTCCGAACTATGATCCGAAGGTGATTAGAAGTTCAGATGGTGTGGAGTCTGTGGACTTCCCAGCAGAGAAGCGGGGAGAACAAGGACACGCTGCTTTGTTTTCACACTGTGCAAGTGGGCCGTTATGGCACATGGGGATGTGGGCAAGTTGCACTTAACCACGATCAACGTGGGTTGTAAATGAGAGGCAGGGTAAAAGGGGAGCCGCAAGAAGAAACAAAAGAGGAAATTCTGAATAAAAACTAGAGTCAGAAAAGCGAAGAAAGGACTGCACAAGGAAAAGTGGTTTTAGTGGTTCATGTTGTTTGCTATAGAGTTAAAAGCTGTTTTGGGTCTACTCGTATGGGTGTAAAAGGCGTTGTTGTAGTGACAGTTAACAACACACACACACACACACACACACCTGTCTCTTATACACATCTAGATGTGTATAAGAGACAGACCTAGGGGCGCTAGTTTCTGAGTTTGGTGTATCTGAGGAACTAACTCAATCGCTGGTAGGAGCCTATCAGGAAGACCCTGTCACGATGGACATCATACGCAAACTTCAGGCAAAAGATAAGGCCACAAAAGATGAGTTTGTGATGGTGGACGGGCTACTCTTTCTTGATAAGGCCGGGTTTAAAAGATTAGTTATTTTATCTAGGGAGCATTTGCGTAGTTTATTTCTAGGAGAATGCCATGACGCGACTGGACACTTTGGCTATAAAAAGACAAGTGTCAATCTAGTACAGTGATTTTGGTGGCCCAGAATGCTAGATGATGCAAAGAAGTATGTGGGACCTGTCAGGTCTGTCAGCGGGACAAGCCGCGAACTCAAGCACCGCTTGGGTTGCTGAAGCCCTTACCTATCCCCGCTGGTTTGGGACAGAGTGTTTCCATGGATTTCATGGACACCCTGGTGACCAGTAGGAATGGCAAGAGGCACATCTTTGTCATCATAAGATCGATTCACCAAGTACGCTAGACTAATTGCCATGCCAGAGACCGCAACGACTGAACACATCATCAAGTTGTTTATGGGCAACTGGGTACATGATTTTGGACTGCCAAAGTCAATCGTTAGTGACAGAGATGTCCGCTTCACAAGTGAGCTGTGGAAGAAGATTGCTGAGCAATTGGACAGTCAACTTCGCATGACCTCCGGGAATCATCCCGAAGCCAACGGACAGTGCGAGCAGATGAACAGAGTTGTACAACACCTGCTGAGGCATTACATCAAGCCCAGCCAGGATGACTGGGATGAGAAATTGCCTCTCATCGCCAGCCTGTACAACAATGCTGTACACAGCAGTACCGACGTTAGTCCTAACCAGCTGCACTTGGGATGGAAGCCTAGATCAGCCTTGGACTTCCTCTTGCCTGAAAACCGACCCTCTGCAACTTCGGGCACACTTGAGTATGGTGTGCAGAATGAGAAGTTGCTACAGCAAGCTGTCGAGCACATCAGAAAATCTCAGCAAGCAATGATTGCTTTTGAGAACAAGCATCGTCGACAATCCTCATTTCAGGTAGGGGAACGTGTCTGGGTCAAGGCTAGTGAGCTAGGACAAGAATTCGATATCTCTCGAAAACTAATGCCTCAGTATTTTGGTCCCTGGGAAATCCTGGAGTTGGGGATGAGATGGATGGTCCTACCTATGTTATCCGTATCCCTGGTCACCTGCGCACTCACCCTGTCTTTCATGCCTCAAAGCTTGCACCTTTCACTGAGACAGATCAATTCCCTTCAAGGAGAGCGATGCTGCCCCCAACCATGGATGGCCAAGTGGACATCGACGACATTGTGGATCACAGAGACATGCCTGTTCCAAAGCCGATGGGTCGAGGAAGACCTCCCAAACCCAAGAGAGAATATCGCGTCAGATTTAGGCATCATACGGATCCAACAGAAGATCGGTGGTTCACCAAAGAGGAACTAATTGACACAGCTCCTCAAGTGGTGGCAGAATATGAGAGGATGTTAAAAGGGAAGGCACCTGCGAAGTAAGCATCTCAGCGGACTTTCGAAGCTAAGGGGGATGGAATGTGAGGATTGAGCCCTCAACGGGGCCTTGCCGACATGCATATGTTATGGGCATAGATCCCCAGCAAGCCTCGTGCCTGCCCTAAGTGAAGGCGGGCAAGAATATCCACAAGAGACCTTCATTTAGCATTTCACAAAGTGGGTATCAGACTGTTGCCGCACGCCAGTTGGTTGGAGTGCATCGTGAGCCTCAGACTCCTGCAAAGGCAGTTGAGCCCAGGGCCTCGGCTGGTTGAGCCTTGGGCGACAGTCTGGGAGGCCGACACATCACACATTGGTCCCTGGCCTCAGAAAAGCAGTAATTCGTCGTCGAGGCCGAGGAAACCAATGGGAAACCGGTAGAGGGCCTGAATCTGGACAACGACCCTAGCATAAGGGGCGCAACTGTAACCTGGGCCCCATCTGCATTGGGCCTGGGTACAGGTACTGGGGCCCAGACGCAGGCTCAAGGCTGACCGCCCACACGCAACACCGGCATATAGGCAGAACAGGCGAGTGGGGGAGGATCTTGGCCATTGCGAGCAATGTCGGCATGTTGAAGCACTGCGAGGTGCTGCGCTGCGCTAGGCTGAGGTGAAGGCACGCTGGCGCTAAGCGGTAGGGCGCAGGGCGCTGGCGGCCATAGCCGGGCTGCTTGTGGGCGCTGAAGGAGGTGAGGGCGAAGGTGGTTCTTCGGAAGGTGAAGGCGCTGTGTGGGATTACAAGGGAGAGTGAGGGAGAAGAGAGAGACGTACCTGGTGGAGAGGAGGTCGGCATTGGTGTTGACGTCATCACTCGCTGGTCGTCAAGTTGTCTGGTTGCTTCCATGCTGTAGTTGTAGTGTTAGGCTGTAGAATAGATAGGGCGCCTGGCGCCATTCAAGAGAGAGAGCTGCATTGAGTTATGCTGTTGGTGTTGCCCGATTGGGCTTGGACATTGACTCACAATTCTGCTGTATCGTTCTCAAATGGATGGTTACTTGGTTCCATTGTGCTATCTGCTCTTCCTTCGACTGCTTGGACTTAAGTGTGATTTTGCAATTTGGATTTTTGTGCTTCGTCCACATTCATGTTCCTTGCATTAACTAACAAGAGGAAATGAAATGTAGCATGGTACAATCATAAAGTCGTGGAGTAAACTACCTCAATGATGAAAATAGCAATATAGTACCAGATAATGTCGATTCGCTTAGCCATTAAAGAATGGGATGGTCTCAGAGGGGATGAATGCAGCCTAAGAATCGGAACTCCTAAGGGCAGTCACACATGAAAGGGGAGGGAGTGATAGCGAAACAAAATCAATTACCCTAACAGATCGACTGTCAAGGTGGGTAATGCTTGATAAAAGGGTGACACTATATAGGGTCGACTATAAAAGGGGAGCCTGGAATAGGGTGGAGATGCACATAACTGAGGGCATGCAATGGAAGACACTAGCGTGACATGGGTGAGGGAAACATGCACACAACTCACTAGCTGGGGAAGGAGCCAGATCTGGGAGCAGGGAAGCCAAGATAATGCTATGGTCCCAATGCTTATGCATTACCAAGGGAGAGCTTAACTCAGGGAGAATCAACTAAGTGAGAACCATCATGCGACACATACGAAGGAATGCACAAGGCAGGGTGGTGTCGTGAAGTAGTCAAGTCCAAAGCAGTTGAAGCCGATAAGGTAGCTGAAGTCGTCGAAGTGGTCGATGACGTCGATGGAGGAGTCGAGTTGGTGTCGAAGCAGGGCCGCAAAACGCTGACATCTTGAAGAAGTTGATGATGGAGTATATGATAATGTGAGTCAGTGGTAGGAGATAGGTAGGTGATAAGAGTGTCACTCGTCGAGACGCCGAGGGTGTGGACGAGTGCGTTGTGGGCGCGCGGAGGCATCCATTTGCTGTTGAAGAACGACCTCAGAGAGATGTTGAAGAACGACCTCAGAGAGAGCGGGCTCGTCCTCGGTAATCTTCTCAGCCAGAGGAGAAGGAAGAGGGTCAATCGGCTGAGCAAGAGTAAAAATCTCAACACGACAAGCATGATGATATACAAGCACCAACATCCAGGTGTGCTCCAAGTACTAGAGGGGCTCCCCAGTAGCCTCCTCATCGGGATAGCCCTTCCAACGCACAAGGTACTCGATGTGTGGAGGGGTATCGTCGGTAACTCGGCGAGATACGAAGTTTGAAACAACGAACTCCTCGTGACCGTCCACCATGATAGGTGGAGGGCGCTCGTAAGGGCGTCCGACGAATCGCTCCCACTGTCTGCGATAAAGACGTAACAAGGAGATGTGGTAAGCATCGTGTACGCGACTTTATCGAAGGTAATCAGGCAACTTCACAGGAAAGTTAATCGGAGTATTAGAACCGACGGGCTGACGGATGCGGCGTGGACCGAAAAAGCAACGCCTGAACATGTGAAATGTGTCCGCTTCGACCTGCAAGTGGCGTGTGTGGACGAGCACATCGTCACCGACTTTGAATAGGTGATCCATTTGCGATCGTTTTGCTCGTGCGGCCATACGAGTCTGAGAGACAGCGATACTCTGTGCGCATTCGTAATCGCCACCATATGTGCTATCTAGGTGTCAAGCGCAGGACAACGCGTATCTGGGTGCAATCGTGAGCATTGAAGAAAATCCGCAGGCAAGTGAGGGTGGTAGCCAAGGTTGCAATAAATGGCTACGTCACCGTGGCTGGTGAGACAACGTGGTTGTACGCGATCTCCGCGTAGGTTAAGTGTAAGTCCCACTGTCGGTCGGTCATCCCTAACAAATTTTCGGAGGATATTACCGAGAGTTTTGTTGGTGACCTCAGTCTGGCCATCTGTCTGAAGGTGTGGTAAGACGACATGTTTGTACACATCGTGTTGGCGTCGCCAAAATGTGCTGGTAAAAGACGGATCACGGTCGGAGATGATGCTCTGAGATAAGTTGTGATCTCTCATTGCCCGGTCGAAAACGATGTTGGCGAGCTCACGAGCGCCAATGCAATAGTGGCACGAAAGTGATCGACGACGACCAAGATAGCATCATGGCCGCCTCGTAGTGAGATGGCGGAGGGGACCAACAAAATCCATTGAGATGGACTGCCAACAACCCTGTGATATGGGTAGAGGCTGGAGTAACCCATATGGAAGGTGGTTCACACTGTTCAGCTTCTGGCAGGTAGGACACTCCTGGGTGTAGTTCCTAACGAATTCCTTGCTCTGGGGCCAGACGTATAGGCGGCAAACATGGGCCAACGTCTTGTGGAAGCCCATATGATGGGCAATCGCTTGGTTATGGAGCCCGACTACTGTCAGAACGCGGAGCTGTCCAGTGGAGGGAACCCAGATACGTGGTTCTAGACCATCAGACTGACCACG